TGGTGGTGGCTGAGGTGGGGAGAGAAGGCTGGCGGGAAGGGAGCAGGGTGGAGGGGACCTGGGACTCCCAAGGGAGAGCGAAGGCCCAGACACAGGGCTGAGGTCATTGGTGGCGAGGGTTTCAGAACGGGGGATCGAGAACAGGGTCCGAAGCCCCCTCCTCGATGCTGCTCCCCTCATCCAGCCTATCTCTGTGTTCCCTTCCATCTCAGCCGAGGTCTGAGGAGGTGGAGCCCCCACCGTGTCCTTGCCAGTTCTCCGAGGGGTCTTCTGCTGGGCTGGCAGTGGTGTCCTCACCTTTGTCTTCTGAGCAGTGGCAGGTGTATCCACAGGGAAGTATCTCGAACAGAGTGTTTGGTCTACAGCCTTTTATGCTCTCTAGAGGCTGGCCTCTGTGGTCCCGCCATGTGTGCTGTCCAAGCTCACATCCTACTGTTAATTATTAGGGAGGCGACTGTCTGACTGGATGTTTCTGATGGGATCTGTGTCCTTTGTCCCGTCAACTGCCTTGGACTGCCCCGCCACTTGACTTGAGGACCACTTTGTCATGTTTATTGTAAATATTTTGGCCAGCTGACCGTGTGTTTTCTGGTTTTGTAGTTGTTGTTTTTTTTTTTTAAGTTTATTTATTTTGAGAGAGAGAGTGTACGAGAGCAGGGGAGGGGCAGAGAGAGAGAGAGAATCCCAAGCAGGCTCTGTGCTGTCAGCATAGACCCCAACTCGGGGCTCGAACTCACTGACTGTGAGATCATGACCTGAGTGGAAGTTAAGAGTCAGACGCTTGACCGACTGAGCCCCCCCCAAGGGCCCCTGTAAGGTTTTGCTTTGATTCGCTTTGTTTTTCTGTGCATTTTGAACATGTGGTGCAACTGGATTGATCGGTTTTCTGTTTTTGTTCCTGGGTTTTGTGTCCAGTTTAGAAAGGCTTTCCCCTTTGCTGGGATCACACAGATACTCTTTCCTTCTTGTACTCCTGTGGCTTTAGTTTTCCTTAGGTCTGTGTCTCTGATGAGTCTGGAGTTGATTTTGGTGTGAGGACAGAGGTGGATCCTGCCCTCCGTGGCTGTGTGTTGAAGCAGCCTCCCCCACTACCCCTGCTTAGTGCTGCGTGGCCCTCTGTGCTCCCTGTGTGGCACCCCCATGCTCCCTGCAGTGGCCCCCATGCTCCCTATAGTGGCCCCCCGTGCTCTCTGTGTGGCCCCCTCCCCTGCTGCCTGCAGTGACACCCCCCCCCCGTGCTCCCTGCAGTGGCCCTCTGTGCTCCCTGCAGTGACCACCCCGTGCTGCCTGTGCGGCCCCCCAGCAGGTGGACTCCCCCAGCCTCCACCGCCAGTCTCTTCCCCTCTCTGAACAAGGCCGTGGGCGAGTGAAGCCATGGCTCCGGGCTCTTGTGGCACCATCTCTAGTCCTCACCCAGACGCTGAGGGTGTGATGTGGTGAAGTAGTCAACAGGGGACTTTGGGTGTAAGCATGGCCTCAGTTTCCCTGTGTAGCAAATGGGGCCTGCTGGAGGCGCTGTGGGGGTTATGCGGCAAGGCTGCAGAGACACTCAGGCCAGCACGGGTCTGTTCACGCTGGGCTGGGCTCTGGGTCCTGCGCCTTCAGCCATAGTCTTTGGGGATGGCCCAGTGGTGCGGGCTGAGGGGGGAGGGCTGTCCTCAGGCTCCTCTTGTCTTTCCCATCTCACTCCCACACTCTTGTGCAGCTTACCTGGGCACAGAGCTGAGACCTGGAAAAAAACCCACTCAGATTCTCTCTGACATTCCAGAGAGACTTGGGGGGAAATTTGTAGACGAGGCAGGAGAAGCCTTGCTTACCTGCCCCCCACCACCGTCCCACACCCCCCCACCACCCTGCAATGTGGGTGTGGCGTCGTGGCCATCCGGTGGGACTCCACTAAGCCATCCTGGCCTTGGTGGCTCAGCTAAGGGTCAACTCTTCTACTTGTGGCAGCTGTTCCTGGACTGTGGCTGGGAGGGGCCTGGGGGCCAGAAAGCTTAGGGCTGAGCCTGGAGGGGCCAGGCACTGGGCACTGTGTCACTCCTTGAGGGAGACTGTCCTGGCATCTGGCATCCACTGCAGTGTTTTCCTGGGACTCCCCGGGTCACCTTAGGGTCACTGGGGCTCTAGAGGAGATAGTCGTCAGCCTGAGGACCTGCCCAAGGGTACATGGAGACTGCCCTTGGGCATCTAACAGCCAGGAGTGCTGCTGGAGGGGCCCACAGCACACCAGGGCTTCAGGAGGCTGGGGCTGCCAGAGTTGGGGGCTGAGGACCCATGTTAGCTGCGGGGTTCTTCCTGTTGTGGCTTAGTTGGGGGAAGGGGTGCTCTCCAGATCCTGCTCCGTGATGAATTCTCATGGATCGCCTTTAAAATGAATAAACCAGAAGACGTGTATTCGGTTTGCACAGCTGATTGCTCTTGGTTTTCTGTAGGACGCGGGCATCAGAATCTTTTTGTGTGTAGAGTGATGGGGTGGATGATGCCTTCTAAATCTTGCTAAACTTGGCAGTTGGGTGGTGGCTCTGGGACTGGCGCCTGTCCTTGCCTTTGAGAAGTGAACCTGGCCCCTGCAGCCCTGTGGGGCCTGTAGGTGGGCCACCTTCCTTGTGGGTGGGGCATTGTCACATCCTCTGTGGGCCCCCTCCCCTGCCTTGCTCCTTGCTGGTGGTCTCTTGGGGTGGGCTGTTCAGGTCAGCTTCCCTGGAAGGCCCAGAGAGGTGACAGTCACACCTTGTGGCCAAGTGTGTGTGGGGTGGCCTGCTTCCTGGGGGTGGGGGGGAGCATGAAGGGAGGGGCTGTGAGTGGCCAGGAGGGAAGGATAATCTCGCAGAAGACGGGCGCTCGCCCTGGTTTGTAGCTGGCACAGCCCTCAGAGCACTTCCAGGAGAGCCCAAGGAGACCGTGACTTTGTGCAGTCAAGCCTGGGGCAGATAGGTCAGTGTGGCCGTGGGGACCAGGGTCAGAGCCTGGGGCCTTGAGAAACTTGCGGAGAACAACTCCCTGGAGGGGCAGCCTCTCGGGGAAGGCTCCGTTGTGGCTGTCAGCACAGCGGTCCTTGCTCTCTGCTCTCAGCTGCACTGCCCTTTCTGGGAACTCTGAGTGAGCCCCCTCACCCCCTGCCAGGAATGTTGTCCCATGTGTCCCATGGCCCTGGCTGGGACAGGGCAGGGCTAGTGTTCTTCCCTGTTGGCCTGCCCCACCTGGAGCCAGCCTTGATGTGTTTGTTTCCTGTTCCTCCTCCACAGGCTGGTGGATGCCACCTGCTGTCTGCAGCCTGATCAACTGCTCTTCCAAAAGGAGGCCCTCCTGAAGACATAGTCGCCAGGCCTGCCGTGCCCTTGGTACCCTGGCTGCTCACACAGTCTCACTCCTGGGCACTGGGGGCCGAGACCCCAGGACTCTGAGGGCACGCCCTGCCCCGGTTTCTCTGTGGCTGTGGGCCCAGCCCTCTGGCCACACCCCCCTGTTAGCACTAACGTACTGACCCTGGAAGAGTGAGGGAGAGGGGAGGGGAGGCCAGGCCATGGCTGCTCCCAGGCCCCACCCAGGATCCTAAGGCCTGGAAGGTGAGGGGGCCTCTGCCCATTGCCCTGCCCCTGCTTCACCCTCATCCAAGTGCCAGGACGCTGCACCTCTCTTATCTAGGTAATTAGCTTCAGACCCTGGACCGAGGCTGGCCAGGTCGTGGGCTGCTTCCCACAGGCTGTGCACCCTGACCCCAAGAGGGAGGTGAGGCCCTGCCCATTGAGTAGCCGAGGTGCCGGGGCTCTTGAGAGGCAGGCAGCAGGTGCCCTCCCACCCTGCCCTTTCTGCCCGGGCCTGGTCACGGCGTGGGGCCTCGTGACCCAGCCTTGCCAGGGGCGGAGGGCACCACTGAGCCTTGGGGAGGGGATGCCCCCAAGGGTGCCAGTCCAGCCAGCTGCCCCACCCCTCAGGCCCAGTCTGGCCCCGGTGCTCCCCCACCTGGTGCCCCGAGCAGTCCCCCGGGCAGGCGGCCCCCGCCATGGCCGAGCACCTGGAGCTGCTGGCAGAGATGCCCATGGTGGGCAGGATGAGCACACAGGAGCGGCTGAAGCACGCCCAGAAGCGGCGTGCCCAGCAGGTGAAGATGTGGGCCCAGGCTGAGAAGGAGGCCCAGGGCAAGAAGGGCCGCCAGGAGCGGCCGCGGCCATGGAAGGAGGCAGCCAGCGGCCGGCCACAGAAGCGGGTCCTTTTCCCTCCCAGCGTTGCCCTCCTGGAGGCTGCTGCCCGAAATGACCTGGAGGAAGGTGAGCATGGCTGAGCCCAAGGGCAGACCCTGTCCTCCACCTCAGTCCTGGAGAGAGCTGCGGAGGGCACAGTGCTGTCCTGCGGAGGCCTCGGGGCTGGCCTGGTGTCCTCGGGCGCTTGCTCTCAGTGGTCGGCCACTTGAGGCTCACCAGTGATGGCGCAGCACACTGGGGTGCTGCTGCAGGGGTGAGGCTGATGGGATTGGGCAGGGGCATTGGGGAGCCCACAGGAGCTCGGGGCAGTGCCCAGGGCTTGGCTCAGGTGGGCTGGGAGTGGCCCATCCTCTTCGGTGCCTCTGGCCAGGGCGCTGGGCGATGACCAGGAGAGGCCTGGCCACCACCTGCTTGGGCCCTGTCTCCACCTGTGTAAAGGAGGGCGGCCACGCCCACCTCAGCAGGTTGGAGTGCGGGGCCGGGGGTCCCCGCAGGCCAGCCCTCTCGACACCTGCCTCTGCCCATCTTTGACTTATTCCTCCCCATCAGGACCGCCCTGGCCAGTGACAGGCTCCTCGTTCCTCCCCTGCACCCTGTGTGCTCATGGCCCCTCTGCTGTCCCTGAGGGGCTCCTGAAGGCTCGTCCTGCCGTCCTCCAGGGCAGAGGCTGGGGTGCAGAGGGCAAGGAGAGGCGGGCAGTGCCTCAAGGCAGGGGCGGTAGAGGAGGGCGTGGTGGGTGTGCCGCTGGCCCAGGCTCAGGGAACTGTGGGAAGTGGGGTGCATCACCCTGCTGCCCATGGAGCATATCTGGGAGGGCCAGGCCAGTAAGGAGGTCTGGGATGACCTTGGTGACAGGCTAGGCCCCAGATGGGACCACTGAAGAGTGAGGACAGGGATCAGCTCTACTGAGGGAGACCTTGGAGGGGGTGGGCCTGGATGCCTGGGGCCCACACTGCAGGCTGAAGCTGGGCAGGGGGCCTGCGCTCACACGGGAGCCTGAGGGCTGGGAGTGCCCTGATTCAGGAGGGGTGGGTCCTGCTAGGTGCTGGGGGCAGAGGGCTGCTGTGTATGCCCACCTGGGGGCCGACAGATACCCAGAGCCCCGACTCTTGAGCCCTCAGCCTGGACTCGGGTGTCCCTCTTGCCACCCACATCTCTTTCTCCCTCACCACTCTCTGCTCCCGGCTGCGGCACAGCAGTCCGCCCAGGTACCTGGCGCCCGGGCTGAACAGTGTTGGCCTGGCAGGACCCCTAGCCCTGCCACGTCCTGACCACGCTTCCCGCCCCCTTCTCACAGTCCGCCAGTTCCTCGAGAGCGGGGTCAGCCCTGACCTGGCCAACGAGGATGGCCTGACGGCGCTGCACCAGGTCAGCCACGCCGAGGGTGGGGTGGGAGAGGAGGGGGCGCTGGCCGGGGCGCTGGCCTCAGGCTCTGTGGTTCGTAGAGCTGCATCGATGACTTCCGGGACGTGGTACGGCAGCTGCTGGACGCCGGGGCTGAGGTCAACGCCCGTGACAGCGAAAGCTGGACACCCCTGCACGCCGCGGCCACCTGTGGCCACCTGCACCTGGTGGAGCTGCTCATTGCCCGGTAGGGCCCCGCTGGTGTGGCCAGAGCTGGGGAGGGGCCGCAGCCAGGCCAGGGGGCAGGGCCTTCCTCGCAGATAGTTCTTCCTGAGACACGAGCCTGTTGTCCCCTCCACAGGAAGCACACTTGGCCCTTGGCCTCTTGTGTTCCCTCTCACCCTTGCCTACCCTGACTTCATGCTGGTGGAGATCAGGGCCTAGGCAGAGGCTGCAGACACTGACGCCAAGGGGACAAGCGTGTGCCCGGGGCAGTGTGGTTGTCTGCCCGGCAGGCTGTCGGCCTGGGCACATCCTCCTGCCGAGCACTCTTAGGGGTTTGGGAACTCCTTGAGGGCAGGCCTTGACCTCTAGCTCCGGTCCTCCCTGGGGTCTGCCCAGAGAACTGCCACTCTGGGCAGAATGATGGGGGTGGCAGTGGTGAAGACGGAGGTGGGGCCTTTGACAAGGAGGGCGGAGCAGGGCAGAGCTGCTTCGGACACAGGCCTTGGTGAACAGAAAGGGGCATCCAGGAATCCCCGCATAGGGACCCCTGTAGTAGAGCAGACGGCCAGGGGCCCAGGCTGTCCTCGGAGTGGTCCAGGTGCTGATGGTGGGTATGTGGGCGGGTGGCAGTCTCTCCCCTTCACACACAGATGCCGCAGAGTAGGAGGGATGGATGTGCACAGACAGCCCCTACCCCCTCCCTGCTCCTCTCCACAGCGAGCGCCCACCTTTGTGTTCTGGGCTCCCTTCAGCTCCCTGTCTTTCCCTGGGGCCATGTTCCTGCCTGAGCCCCGTTCTCTGCAGCTGTCTTCTGTCATCTGGGCTCTCCTCCCTCTGTCTTTTGCTCCCCAAGGCTTCTAGAGTCCCAGCAGTGCCCCCTGGTACGTGGGCCCGTTGTGCAGGTTGACAGGGACAGATGGGTGTCAGGAACCTGGAGCTCAGACGTGGGTGGAGACTGGGGGGGTGGCCTGCCTGGCGTGAGTACAGGATCCAGAGCTGAGGTCCACAGCCAGATGGTCCCAGGGGCACCGGGGGCCTGGGCCTCCTCCACGTTCAACCCACACTGTCCAGGAGAGCAGCCCTAGGCCAAGGGCCTCTGCAGAGGGTGGACTGGAGGCCTCCGTGGGGGAGAAGCGTTCTGTGGCCAAAGCCCCCGTCCATTCTGCGTGCAGTGGTGCTGACCTCCTGGCCGTCAACACTGACGGGAACATGCCTTACGACCTGTGTGAGGATGAGCGGACGCTGGACTGCCTTGAGACAGCCATGGCCGACCGCGGTGAGTACGGCCCCACCTGCCTGCCAGGGTGCCCGGGTGCCAGCTCTGAGCCTCGCCGCCTTGCAGGCATTACCCAGGATGGCATCGAGGAAGCCCGGGCCTTGCCGGAGCTGCACATGCTGGACGACATCCGAAGCCTGCTGCAGGCAGGGGCCGACATCGACGCCCCCCGGGACCATGGGGCCACGCTGGTGACGATGGGGCCACGTGGGTTGCAGGTCGGGAGGTTGCTGCTGGAGGGGCATGGCGGGGACTCAGGGCCGGGCGGTGTGCCTGCAGCTCCACATCGCTGCCGCCAGCGGGTTCAGTGAGGCGGCCACCCTGCTGCTTCAACACCGAGCCAGCCTGAGCGCCAAGGACCAGGACGGCTGGGAGCCGCTGCACGCGGCTGCCTACTGGGGCCAGGTGAGCGCCGGGGGCGGGGGCAGCCGGGCCTGGGCCGGCGGCTCCTGCCTCCGAGGCCTTCAGCAGCCCGGGCTCGCTGGCCCCTCAGGTGCACCTGGTGGAGCTGCTCGTGGCGCACGGGGCCGACCTGAACGGGAGGTCTCTGATGGACGAGACACCTCTTGGTGAGCTGGGGCCGCCTCCGCCGGTTGTAGAGGGTGGGTGAGAGGGCACCGGTGACCACCCACTTCTCCCCAGACGTGTGCGGGGACGAGGAGGTGCGGACCAAGCTGCTGGAGCTGAAGCACAAGCACGATGCGCTCCTGCGCGCCCAGGGCCGCCAGCGCTCTCTGCTGCGCCGCCGCACCTCCAGCGCGGGCAGCCGGGGGTGAGCGCGCAGTCGACCCCGGTGTCCTACCCTCCGCTGGCA